AAGGCCAGCACAGTTTGTAGATTTAGCAGATTAAAGTAGTAAATAAACACTAAAATCAGGTGGAAAATGACCTAGAATAACCTACTGTCAATACAAATACGATATAGGCGTACACCGCTACCACCCCATGGGCCGCCGCTGTTACACTGTCTTAACGAGAGCTCAACAGTCCAGGGAGCGAGTGTGTCGCGGTTCTGTCTCTCGGATCCGCGATACGAGACCGTGGACTTTGTGTCGCGATTTCGGTCTCGGTTTCAGAACCGTTACAGCCCTAATCAATACATTTGCAGTTGAATTATGTTCATTTGTGAAGAATTTAATAAACTAAATGTGTCTGTATATCACATGTCACATTCCTTCACTACTAAATTAGATTTGTTAATTTAATCAAATCCCAAGATTCTTGATTGCAGTTAATGTCTGTTTTTGGTCTACAAAAACATGTCATGACTCTACTGTTTAGTACCTGTATTTCATTCATCTTGAGCATTTTATTGTAGTCTGGATTGTGGTTATCCAGCAGTAGATGTGTGAAACTAAGCTGCATTATGAACAGATTCAAATTTGACTGCAAAATAAACACTTTAGGATGTCGTCTAAAACCCCAGTCAAAAAACAAAAAAGTGTCAAAGCAAAGTTCACCTGAACATCCTGGCTAACACACTAGCCAGGTGGAAACACAAAAGCAATAGTCTGTCACCATGGCACTCCGAGCTAGCTTGTTTGCTAAATTCCAGTTAGCTAGTTGTTCAGTCAATAACTGGACAATAAGTTCTGATGATTTAGTCAAGACATGTATTTGTACTATTGACTCCTGCCTTATAGTCTACAATCCATACCTTTCTTGTGGACCAGTCTATAATCTGGCAGAGGAGGTTAAATAAACGTGGATGGTGCAACACAGCTAATAAGCTACGATAGCGTGTTCTGATTTGGACTCTCTGTTCCATTGAAAGTAAGCACTGCCAAAATGGTTTGCGAATAGTCATGGGTGAAAATTTGTGTCACCAATGGCATCAAAGTTGAACTTGGTACAAACTATTTGCACGAATTTACTCACCCTTGAAATCAATTAATTCAATTCCATTCAATTTTATTGTAAGCGCCAATTCCGTTATCTCAGGACTTTTTTCAAATAAGCAGGTCTAACCGAACTTTTTAACATTAATTACAGGACCCAACAGTACCAATCCAACCATATATGAGCACCTTTTTTAACAGCAACATTTTTAATAGGAACCCCTTATGAATAGGAGCGGGACATTTTACAGGTGGAAAATAACTCAGTTGAGTTCTCAGGGCATTAAAGCTGCAGTAGTTCATTTTTGATATATTGTTCATATTTTCACTATATCCTGGCATTTGCAAGAATACACCAGGCCTGAATGAAAACAACCAATCAGAGCTGAGAAAGATGGAAGACACCGTGGGTTGAAGGCTTGAAGGTAGTTGATTGTTGAGTTTCATTCCCAGCTCGATATTATGACCTGGGAATGAGACTCAATAATCAACTATCTTTCTTGGCTCTGATTGGTTGTTTTTGTTCAGGCCCGGTGGATTCTTGTAAATCCCATTAGGAGCACTAGGAGGAGCCAGAGGAACCTGATTGTTTCACAGATTATCTGTCTCATGTTCTACTGTCAGGATATAGTGAAAGATTCAACTATACATGCAGAAAATAGTAAACTGATTTCAATAAAGAGATGCATCTGACTGTTACTGCAAGCACAATTTTAATGTTTCCTTCTTTGTGTGTGATGAAGTGGAGCATGCTCAGAATGCTTCTGGCCATTTAGGAAATGTTCACATATTTTTTATTCAACCTTCCTCAGTAGGGTTTTTAAAATAAACATCAATGCAGAAAGGACAGTCTATCTTTTGTCATTAATGTGGTCAGTTGTGGCCTCTACATTTTATTTTCCAGTGGTCAGTTCCAGGCAGTATAAAGAGTTCACAGTTGCAAGGGAGCTAAAGGATACAGAAACAGCCTCATCTTAATTATAGTGCTCCTCTGGCTGTGTGCTCTTAGTGCTCCTATTGCTCCAGGCTCATTATTAATGGCTTACAGTGTGGAAATTGACACCGTGGGAAATAGCCGGGTCCATCATCGTCATTCAGCCTTCATTATGAACAGCACTCTTTTTCCTTCAGCTCGAGTTTTGGTATACTTGAAGCAGATCCCAGGTTCTAAATAAAATATAATACCCCAGCTATTGAACATAAAGACAGCCCAATTGCCTTGGATAAATAAGAGAGCATACACAGAGGTTAATCTTGCAGGTCTGTGTCCCCCATCTTTCTAACAGGCCTAGGCAGGTCGTAGAAATATAGATCCTTCTACTGGATCCCAGATCTGTCCTGTTAGAGTGGATTGTACCAGGCTGCAGGAACAGAAAAAAAGAGATTGTGCTGGCAGACCTTTAAACATTTCCAGATGCTGCAGACTGCACTGTGGGAACTCAGTGGAGAGAAAAATCAGTGGTTCGCCAACCTGAAGAGGCCTAGAGGGTGATTTTAAAAGTCTACCTCGCAATAGGATTTGACTAATAACAGGGTTTTCAAGGCAAACAGTGGTAGTTTGTGGATTGAGTTTACCAACAGTTGCTCTTATATGCTGATATTCATTAAAATAAACCAGGCTTGTGTAACCAACTTGACTTGGTGGGTTGTCGCATAGGGTACATTAAACATTATAGAGGAAATCATAAAAGCAGTAATCATTTTAATAAAAGCTGTGTGTTTTATTCTTTTCTGTATAAAAAAACCTTTAAAAGCTCTGGTAGACCATTGTAAGACACTTACTTATTATTAATGAAACCTCTTTTTATAATAATAATAATAATAATATTCTTTATTCATATAGCCTAGCACTGTTCAAAGAAAGAAGTTTATAAAATGCTTAACAAACAAAAGGGAATAATCAATACTGATGGCTAGGCACACAGTAAAGATAAAACCATAAACAAACAATAAAGTAGTAAAATTGTATTTATCATGCAAAACCGCAATCGCAATATGATGTTTAAAAGATTTGTTCCTTTTTGATTTTAGTTCAGTACAAGTAGAAGGTGTCGAAGACCCGATACATTGTAAAGGATACAATGGTCTGTACACTTCAGCAACTTACTCTGAGGCTTTGCCATGTGATGGCTTATTGATTATATTAAACACATTTTAAAATCAATTCTAAAACAAACTGGGAGCCAGTGTAATGAAGCTAAAATTGGAGTAATGTGAGCGGGGCGTTTAGTGTTCGTTAGAAGTTTGGCAGCAGATGTTTGAACAAGCAGAAGCTGATTAATTAAATACAGTGAAAATCCAGAAAATCTTGTTATCATGAGATAAAAAGATGGATTTATTTTTTGCAATATTTCTTTGATAAAGGAGGAATGTACAGGTATACTCCAGTACATTATAACATCACTGTTGGGTGTGGTTACATTTGCACTTTGAAGACAGTGAAAGAGCACATTGTCTCAAAACTAAATTATCGGGAGTGATAGAAAGGTACTGCTGGGTATCATCTGCATAAAATGGTAGCTTACTACTGTTATTCAAGAGTAGCTTATAAATGGTAGAAAACCAAGTACGGAGCCTTGGGGCACACCAATAAACAGATGAGAAATTGTTTACATTTGTGACAAAAAAACTTTCAGATTGTGGTGTAAGACATCCATTTGAGAGCAGAACCACTGACAACTACTATTTCAGCATGTAAATTAGTTTATTATGGTCTACAGTTTCAGCAGTCTCAGTGTAGTGATAATTGACAGAAGCCAGATTGAAATTTTCCAAATGCATTGCTTCATTGCAAGACTTCATATAGCTACTTAGGAGCCACAGCCCAGATCTAGATCGAAGTTTGGCTTGTTTAATAAACGTGAATGTTTTTAGTACTCCGGTTTAGTGCCAGCATGAACAGAGCTGTTATAATAATAAAAGATCAATATCTGCACCATATTGTGGTACCATTGGCATTTGAAAAAATAATATTTGACACACAAACATAGATTTCTCCACCAAGTCACATCAGGCCATCTCCTCATGCCGAGCAGAGCGATTTATTGGCCCTCTTGTCCCCCGTCGGCCCAAGCACACTATCGCTCTCCCGGACTATTTTTATCCATCCGGGAGAACATGTCGGCATCCTTTCCCCCGGCCCGCTCCCATAATTCCTCTCTGTGTCCAAACACACGCTGACAAGAAATAGGTCTGCAGAGGCCTGATGCTTTACAACAGGCTGCTGTTTCACATGAACAACTCCACTCACACTCTCATCTTACATTTATGTGCCTTACACGTGCTCTCGCTCGCTCTCACTCTGTGGCTTTCTCTCTCTCTCCCTGGCTTTCTCTCTGTGTGTGTAAATGATGAAAGTAAAAGTAATACAAGAAACCAACAGGGGCATCTGGCCTAATTCCAATAGAAAATGGAATTGGATTAGTGCCTCTCTTCTCACAGCTGTGTGTGTGTGTGTGTGTGTGTGTGTGTGTGTTTTTGCGTGTGAGTTTGTACATATGAGTGTATGTGTGTGTGGCAAAAATCAAGGCAACAAAGGAGCTCGGCAGCAGCCAGCTGCCCAGCGGTGAAGCACTGATGAACAGTGAGGAAACAGCCGCTGCTGCTGCTCAACACCTTCCTGTTTGTGAGAGTTTGTGTGTGGGTTGGCTTGTGTGTGTTTCATGCTTGCCTGCACATCCCAGACAGATCAGTCATACACATGACATTGATCACACTCATCTTTCCTGGCTTACAGATGCAGTCTTTGTTATATACACTGTAGCCATGTAGCATAATCTTCTAATGCATAAGGACTTCAATCGGCAGCATTGTGTGGCTGATTTAACAGCTAATAATCACTAACTTTATTTATTCACTCCCTTGCTGCTGCAAAGAGAATTGAGTTACACGATTAGAGCGTCTTTTCCTCTCTAAACGCCTGCTGGTAGATTAAATTTCTCCCCTTTTCTTCCTTCTGCTCTTTATTTTCATAAATGCAGCGCTGGTCCTAAAGGAGACAACATCTATGAGTGGAGGTCGACCATCCTGGGCCCTCCAGGCTCCGTGTACGAGGGAGGAGTGTTTTTCCTGGACATCGCCTTCACACCAGACTACCCTTTCAAACCACCCAAGGTGAGTGGTGCCCTGCAGGCATGCAGCACAGCCCCCCCGCTCCTTCACCCAGAGCTTTGAACAATGTCACCATTGTCCCAGCAGGCTGTCAGCTTTTCACGCTGTTGTCCAACAACAATGACATGTTTAAGGCTTGTTCACCTACAGCGTGTTGACAAAATAATGGGTGACAGCAGCAGAGAGAACTGAAGGTGGTCTGAAGACAAATGATGAGCCTATATTTTTTTATAAATACATACACTATACAATTAAAGGATAAAGCAGGTGTGCTATATGTTTTATTAAGGTTAACAAATCCCATAGAAAGACCAAAACCAACAATATGTTAGTCTGTCTTTCAGTACTTACTGAAACACTAAAGTAAGACTAAGACTAAGACTAAAGTACATTGGTTCCTACAAAAGCAGTATTAATTTCATTAACAAAAACTATGATGAAAAATGCTTTTTGATGACCAAGAATAGCTTAGAAAAGGAAAACTTTGAAGAAATGCAGTATAAAAGCACGTTAATTACGAATCTGCTTTTATTGTCAAGACGGACAAATGGGCACATTAGCTAATTACTGAAATATGCAATATGCAAATTGCAGAAGCTGCAACTTTGTGATAAAGGTAAAATGTGTGACAAACAGCATTATAATGAAGTACTGTAGTGCTGCAGAGATGCACTGGTCTACAAATGATTTTCTACAGATGTAGAAAAACATATTTGTTTGGTACAGACCCCGACAAATGTCACATCATCATGATTTTAACAGCTTTATCCTTGAAAATTACATTTATGATGCAAATATGATAATTCCCAAACTAATCATAATTACCTAATATCTGTCAAAATAATCACAATGTGACGTTTTTACCATATCATGCTGTCCTTTTTTCATGCAAAGCCTTGCATTAACACCAATCTATGCATCTGTGGAATCACACATTATATGTTCCAGATTTGTAAAACATGGCCAAAGGTATCTCTTATTTAGCTGCTTGCACTAATAAGCAGCATTTTAGTAACGTTTCTGCCAGTAATGTTGGCCAACCTAACCAGTTCTTAGAAAGAAACATTTTCGGATTTAAATTCATCCACAGACGGAAGTTCCTGTCTAAATCTTCCCCCAAATGTTCGCTAAGGAACATCACTTCAGTGTAATAAAATGTTTTAGCTGCTTGTCTCAGGTTAAACCCAGACAGAGAACTATATTTCAGTGAACAAGGGACTGAGTCCAACATTAAAAGGGTATCACTGCTCTGCAGCCGAGAGCAAAAGTAGCTTTTAATAATGTCAAGTGAGTATGAACAGTAAATGGGCAGCTCTGTTCAAACAGCCAGCTTTTACTGCAGAGTTTCTTTTGTATTCTGTATAGATTGCTATAAACAGATAAACAAGGCATTTACCACTAACCTTAAAATTAGACATTAAATGAAAAATGCATGATGTTTTTAGTTCAGTTGACTAAAAAGTGACTAAAACGAAAACATTTTGGTCAAAAGGCTAAGACAAAAAATACATCAGCACTCTACTACGGGTGAGGTAACTCTTTGAGAAAGAGTCACAAATACGTAGTTTAATAAATAAAATAAAAAAGGCTTAGTCATTTCCTAAAACAGCTGGTCACTGTAGTTTTTATCAAAATATTACTTAAACAAGAGGATAAAGTGCATTTGTTGGGGACTATTCTCAGCTGCATTAATCCACATTTGGTGCTCTAGTGAGGATCTTGGGCAGCAGGACAGTGTATGTGGGATTGACACAAAATAAACTTGTGTGTGTGTGTGTGTGTAACAGCGCAACAGTGTGGTTTACTGATGTGTTTTTAATAGTTTCTGTACAACAATGGAGCTCTATGGCACAGAGGAAGAAGATATATCAGCCCTTGATACACTCAGTACTTGTTAGTAGGATACATTCACTGCTGGTTTTGGACTGCACATGGGATTTGTTGACAATGAGAAAAATGGAGAATATCACCAGACTTATCCTTTAACTGTTTCTTGTTATTGTGTCCCCCTCTGACATGCATGCTGCTAGCATTTTGGCTTCCCTCCAGTGAGGCTGTGGGTTTGTGGGTATTTGCGTGTGTTCTGCTGATGCAACTGTGTGTCAGTATTTACACAGTAGACTGGCTGACTGCGGTTGCCACCCCCCCTCGGTTTGACTCGTGCCTCTGATTTGCCCTGGGTTTGGGTTTCATGTCTAGAGACACTCACTGGCTAACTTCTATCAGCTATTTAGAGACACTTGTTGTAAAAATATAAAAGTAAACAGGAAAATAATTTAGGATATGTGTTATATTTATCCTGTTTTAATATGGGCCATTCAGTGTGGAGAGGTATTTGGCTTGCTTTGGATTGTGGTTGAGAAGTGAAGGAGAGTTGTGGAGGAGACTGTTGACAGCAGCAATAGCACAGAATTTGCCTATTAGATTATGAGATACCTTGTATGCAAAGCTTGTCCTGAGGTTGATGCTTGAAGAAAAGTCAGGTGGTCACCACAAATATCAGTATATCCACAGCAAATTGAATGAAAATAGCTATAAGATATCTATGCCCAAAGTTCTGATTATAGGGCAATGTTGATGTGAAGTTGGTGTTCAAGAAAAGGTCATATTAGTGGCACAAATGTCTTTAGGAACCACCGCGTAGGGAGTCTGAATATCCACAGCGAATTTCAGGGCACACTGTCCAGTAGTTGTGGAGATATTTAGCTGTGGACCAGTGTTGCAGTTTTGTTTGCAGTAAGTGATTTAAACAGAAAACTGATACTCGAATAGCACCAGAGACAGAAAACATTTTTTACACTACCTTCTTACTGGCTATCAAATCTATCTATAAATCTTTGGTTGCTGACTGATCCTTAGTCATGTCAACTCATTCATATTCCTTGTATAAATCATAATTTTAGACTATTTTAAATTTAAACATTTTTTAAACAGCTACTTTGTGTTTAGGCAATGTTTAGTTAGTTAACATAGAGTTTGCTTACATGCTCCCTGAAAACTGTAACATTATCCTCTGTAACTTCACATCATCGCCGACGCCATGTCATCTACGTTTTGTAGTCCGCATCACAAAGTTAAACCAGCCAGCAGTGTAAAAAATATAGAATGAAAAGTCGAATGTTATCAAGTCATTGCACAACAGTCGAGCAGCAATGAGAGTAACCTCTCTTTGTCTGATAACATCAACGCCATCTTATTCACGGCGTTGTCTGGAAGGAAAATATTGTCCATATGTCTATACTTCACCCCAACGCATTTACTGACATTAAAATGCCAATAATGTAACGAACTGCCCCCACTTCAGATGAGGGCTACGAACATCCCTAATTGCCACCAAAATTATAATCTTTTGTTTAGGTTTTAAGTGTCACCTCAACAAGAGCAGCCATACAAGAGTTTTGCTTACATAAAGTACAGTCTAAAACATATACCCAGCACAGGGCAGCTGTGGCTCAGAGGCAGTTCCTTAATCGGAAGGTTGTGGGTTCGATCTCCGGCTCCTGGTGCCACATGTCAAAGTTTCCTTGAGCAAGATACTGAACCCCAAATTGCTCCTGATGCCGTGCATCGGTGTGTGAGTGTTTATGAATGCCATCACTGAGTGAATGTGTGTGAAAGGGTGAATGTGGCACGTAGTGGAAAAGCGCTTTGAGTGGTCGGAAGACTAGAAAGGTGCTATACAAGTACAGGTCCATTTACCATTTACCACTACATCTGTCAAATAAATTATGTCATAGAAAGCATAAAATTGGCCTGTGTATAAAACCACAAAAAGCTTTGACACATATTTCACAGCTTTGCTTTAAAAAAAAAAAAAAAACGACATCAAGCTGTAGATTGTGTGAATGGCTTCATGATATATGCTTTCTTAATAACTGGCTGGATGGATCCCTTGCAGCCTATTACATTGCATCCATAGTACCCACCTAGAGCCAAAGGATCTGTCCTAGGTTTCTGCCTTTTAACAGGCAGTTTTTCCTGTTAAAAGGTCTCTGTAATTAATGTTATAAAGAGTTCGGTCTAGACCTGCTCTATTTGAAAAGTGTCCTAAGATAACTTCTGTTATGAATTGGCGCTATACAAATAAAATTGAATTGAATTGAATTGAATAGTGGTTATTTAAGGAAATTATACAGCTGGATGCAAGTAATTTCTCACATATTCAGATACTGTTGATGATAACACTGACACATTTAAGAAGTTGGGTTTATCTTGTGAAACGTATTACAAGGAGTTTTTAACTGGTTATGAAACTGTCTCAGTTATGACCTACATAAACAAACAAATCAGCAAGAAGATTGGCTATTTATATATAGTAATTCTTAATGCTGCACTTTTTGTCATATTTTCTGAAACTTACACTTTATCCTGACAGAAGTACATGAGACAGTTTCTCCGCTCTGATTGGTTGTTTTCGTCCAGTCAGGTGGATTCTTGCAAATGCCATTAGGAGCACTAGGAGGAGCCAGAGGAACCTCATGTACTACTGTCAGGATGTAGTGAAAGTTTCAAAGTTATTCAAAAGTTATTTTTATAGAAGTTACCTACTGCAGCTTTAATGCCTGCCACTGGGTCAAATTCCCCTTAAATCCAATAACACGAGGCGGTAGGAACTACCGCCAGAATCAATACAATGTTTCTTGTAACTGCTTTAAACAGAAAAAATGGGTTTGCAGAAAAATACTGGTATCAGTACTGGAATTCAGGTATTGTATTGGAACCAGCATCGACAACTTTTAAATGATTCCCAGCTTTGATTAACAGAATGCAAACCAGAGATTCGGTACAAAAGGGGACTACAGTTGCACAGTTTGGATGGAGAAGAATTTTGTCACAGCCTTTGGTATTTAATCTGCAGTCTGGTGCGAAACACTGAAACACTAAAACTGCCTCCTTCCTGGCAGTCCACGCTGAGGGTGAAACAGAGCTCTGTCTAAACTCTTGGCCTCCTGCTGCCTGGTTTTTCCAGCCTGGCTGTGAGCTGTGCCATCCAGCAGCTCACCGGCTCACAGCCACCAATCCGACAGCTGCAGCTGCTCGCTACACTGGCTCACTCACTAATGTTAGGATGATAATGCCAGTTAAGGCTGACACTGATACTCTCAGATAGAGGTCGAGGGTGGCAAGGACATTGCTTCAGCTTTAGTATTTTGCTCCAACATTTAGTCCATTCCAGGACCTGTTCAGCAGAGCCACCCAGTGACAGGCTGAGAGATTAGACTCCTCTAACTAACATTATCCCCCACTATCAGCTCTAATTTTCTCATGGCTTTGAGCTCAGTTCCGCTGCACACTTTATCTTCCTCTGCATTATATCACTCATTTTCAAACTTGTGAAATAGGCTGTTTAACGTGCCGTAAAGCGCCATAAAGTCAAGTTTAGACTCACGGAAGATCAGCCATTCCCTCATTTAAACCGAACCTTTCTATTCTGTCTCATTTAAAATCAGTCATGATGACTGCCTTCTCATAAAACTATGAATCAGTTCAAATTGCTTTTCATTCCGTATGCCCAAAATGACTATTAAATGTGGACATTATGAACAGAACTGAGGTAATGATAGATGAACATGCTCCAGCACAGCTAAGCCAAATGTGGCCCTTTCACATGTGTAGGGAACTTCTGCGGCCTGTGAAACCATAAAAAGGCTCCAATATTTACTTGAATGGGTTGGGCGAGATAATAAAGGAATGTTTGTGCTGATCTGTGTCTACTGGATGTCTAAATAGGCAATAGTCTTTAACAACTGAAGTACTGAATGTGTTAAATGGGATTTTTTTTTCTAAGTAAACAAAAACTGATCAAAGCAGCTTTAAAGGTTATATATATTGCACTAGAGCCTGAGCATCTCAGATCAAAACAGCAGGCACTATGGCCTACCAGACTCCATAGACAAAACAAGTAATTCTACTTCACAGGTAATCATAAAACACACTTTAAACTGGACAGAAACAGAATAAAACTCACCAAAACTAACTTTGTTACTCTTTCCAACAATCACAAACGCTGGTTTGGTCAAAATAAACCCTTAATTCGTCAAGTTAGATAAGAAACTCACTGAAAAACTAACTTTTCCTTGGGGACAAATGTGCCCATTAGAACGTCCACTAAATGTGCTTGTTTTTACCATTGACAGGCTCGAATTGTTATTCTAATAGTCTGACAACATTCTGGAAAGAATCCCTACAGAGATAGACCTTTTGTTTAACCAGAAACAGCTGTAAAATCGCTCACAACCATAGACAAAACAGTCATTTCACCTTGCATGTCATTTTTACGTTATGAGATGTTTGCCGGTCCATCTAAAACTTTGATGGACTGTTGTTGTGGATGTTTTGTGATTGCTATGGCATGTAGTGGATATTCACAAAAAGATGATTTCTAATGACTTTGGCCACCCCATGACTCCTCTACCTCCGTCAGGCCATTACATTTACTGAGCATACACTGTTTCTCAGAGGAAGAACTGCTCACCTCTAGTGCGTCAAAAGGTGTTCAAATGGACTGTCATGACATTTGCTTTACATATTTTTACTGAGGTGTGGAAGTGTTTGGAAGCTGCATTTACTTTAATTACACACTAGGGCTGTAATGATTATTGTCACTGTTGATTTGGTCCATAAAATGTCAGAAAATGGTGCAAAATGTTGGTCATTGCTTCCAAAGCTTCCAAAAGGTGACGTCTTCAAATGTCGTCTTTTGTCCACAACCCAAAGATATTCAGTTTACTGTCAGAGAGAACTGAAGAAAGCTGAAAATACTCACATTTGAGAAGCTGGAATCAGAGAATTTGGACATTATTTTCGTAACAAATGACTCAAAACAATGAGTCGATTATCAAAATAGCGAAACGATTCCATAAGCGTGTTTATCAGAGTTGTTGGGATACAAAATGAGAGAGGTTGTGTTTAGAAGCCGAGGGATGAATCCATAATACAGAGGGGATGTAGGATTAGACCCATAGCTTTTGTTATGCGGAGGCAGCATCATAATCTATTAGCATCAGCCACGATGGGATTACAGGCTGTTAATGAGACCACACAGGCTGGCCAAGGATCTTTTTTCATGGCTGCTGCAGGGCTGCCAGCATTAGCATGCCACCACTGGCCATCTCAGTGGTGTAAGACTCAGAGGCGAGGCCTGCCCTCGACCAGTCACCATCAATCCCCTCGTCTCTGCCTTTTCTTGCCACATCTCCTGAAATCCTTTCAGGTGATGGAAAGCGTCCTGTTTATGGCTCTGTCTCAGTGAAGCCAGCATGGAATGTGAGGAAGGGAGGGCTGAGCTCACAAACAACACAAGGGTTGTTTATTTCTCATAAGAAGGAGATGTGAAGGGAGGAATGGAGGCTTAATGAGAGGATAAAAGAGGGAGGATATAAACGAGGGCAAGCTGCAGTCACAAAGCAAGCAGAAAAGGCGCGCCTGGACTGCCTGTCCCGGTCAGCAGCCTTCGTTTTAAGGAAGGTCAAAGGTCACTCCTTAATGATGTTGTTGTGCTGATGTTAGGCTCTGCTGAGTTCTACAGGACTGTCCTCACTTCACTGTTGACTGGATCCACAGGGACTGTCAGATACAGCAACCGCTTTCTATGAGCTTCTTCCTCTGTATTGTCCTGTGCATTTACTGTAGAATAGCCCCTTAGATTGAAATAAGGCAGATGTTTATTAATGCATTACTATATTGGCAGACCTCCTTTATAGGCCTGTTTGGGCTCAATCAGTCAGAATCAATTAATCAGAATGTGTGTGGTATTATTTGTAGAGCTTACTGTTAAGATCGTCTTTGTGCAGGCAGCCTGCTTAGTGTTTTTATATCATTGTAGGTTGAAGTGTTGGTCAGACGGACAAGATATTAGAAGATGTCAGCCAGGGAAAAATTCTAGTTTATACTATTTTCTAAGATTGTATGGGTGAAACACTTCATGGATTTAATTTTATAAATGAATATTGTAATGCTAGAATAAAAAGTTAATTATAATAATCTTATATTCAGATAGTTTGCACAACATGTTGCCTTCATGCAACATAAGCCAAAATGATCCTGGTTGTCTTGTAGAAAGCGATGCTGATGTAACCCTCTGACTGTCCGTGTGCAGGTGACGTTCCGTACGAGGATCTACCACTGTAACATCAACAGTCAGGGGGTGATCTGTCTGGACATCCTGAAGGACAACTGGAGTCCTGCCCTCACCATCTCCAAGGTCCTACTGTCCATCTGCTCCCTGCTCACTGACTGCAACCCTGGTGAGAGCTGCAGCACACACACACACACACACACACACACACACACACACACACACACACACACACTCCTTGTCATATTCTAGCTGTGACAGGATGACTGACACGTCCATTCTGTGTGGATAATGTACACAGAAGTGTGTCACTTAGAGGCTTGAGTCGTGTTCTTTGTAGCACAACAGCAGCAGTAGTCTAAGAGGAGAGACGGGCAGGTTGCTGTGATGGAAGCAATGCTGCTTAAAATCTGAAGCCTTTCCAAACAGGATCTGTAACATAGAGTGCTGCAGGGATGACGATCCCATTTTTCTATGGGATTTTGGATTATTGCAGAAAATAAGCTCTCTAATGAACAAAGGTTTATGATAATCAGACGTTTTGTTCAGCTAGATAATCCTCACAAATGAACACCGCCTTTTTGATTGTAAATGATAACTGTAAATGTTGCACAACGAGGCTGTAAAGGTGGACTAGACAAGAAGATCAGTCTGTGTTTAAATGTCACCGACAACCTCTGTAGTACATTTAGCCATTTGTTAGCATCTGCCTTTTATAAGACATGTAAAAGCTTCAAAATTCACAGGTGGGCTATATACTGACGTATTACATGTCGTAGAACAAAACGAAAATGAAAATCTCTTTAAAAGCTTGTGTTAACCACAGACCTTATTTCAAGCATCTAACCAAAAACCCAGTCAAAACCCATTGACTTTCAGACGATAGAGCAGGAAATGCTAAAAAGCTGTTCTGTGTTTTAGGACTCAGCTGCACGCTATTGCTCGCTTCATCTATCAGTTAACGTTAAAGGGTCTCATTCCTTAAATGTTCCATGATGTGGCTTTATTCAACATGAATAAAGGATTGTTAAAGAAAGAGATGAAAATGTTGAATGAATATATTTATCACTTTTATCATTTATTAGATCTAATGAACATGTTGCTGCCTATTTTCATGCAGTATGCATTAGCACCCGAGCACACATTTATTCACAACCCTGTGTGCAGTTCGTTTTCTGGATATTTCATCTGTAAGCAGTCGGCATGAAGGACAGTTGAAAATGTAAGGACTTTGCCAATTGTGGGCATTAGAGGCAGCATTTTCATCTCATTTGCATTTACCCTCTCACAATATTGTGTCGTAAACAGCGAGCCTGGGTATTCCTGCTCCCTTCATTGCAGCTCAATCAATATTTAACCAGGACTGGCTGGCTAAACGCAACCCCTATAAACAGCTGACACCATTCAAGGAGAAGACGTCAACATTTTTAAAGCTAATTAGATCCATTATGGCCCAGTTTACTAGCAGGGCAAAGAAATGGGAGGAGAGGGGAATTAAATCTATCTTTTATGGACCAGTTAAACCAGTCGTTCGACTGGTCCTCAGCTACCAATACAGTTAATGTCTGTTGGTGCGAAGTATTGAATTGAGCAAGCAGAGGTGGTAAAAACAGCTACAAAAACAAAATGTGTCCAATATCACAGCAGTGAGGTTCAGAGAGGAAGAACTGGGAGGAATGTGCCAGAGCAAGAAAAGGTGGAAGGAGGGGACTTAAAAGGGCAGAAGAATGACAGGTGATTTCAGATGTGAATAGTGGGGAATGAGATGGCAACAGAAAAGAAAAGGGGGGTGGGGTGGGAGCGATAGTGATGATTGTGAACACCTCTGATGATAGCTTGTGTCCTCTCTGCGGGGATTGCTCTTTGATAAACCTAGCAGCGGAGATTCTCCCTCCTTGGGCGAAAATGAGAATAGCTTTTCCTCTCCTCCTCCGCCTCCTCCTCCTCGACATTTTCAGATGTTGACGAGATGAAATGGATGATTCCTTTAAAGTGTGATACAAAAGAGACTTGATCGACACCCCGTCCCCACCAAAAACACCCTGTCACACCCCCCCCCCCGTTACCCACGCATACTCCATCCCTCTTTCTGCCTCTTGCCTCATCAAAATCAGTCCGCTCGCTACACTTCTCACCACTTGCTTAAGTTTCTTAAACCCAGCCTCAAGTGCTGACTGTGGGCCCAGGATCTGAAATACCCTAAAAATATCTCTCCTTCCCTCTCCACCGCCTTCCGTCTGAAGATTTTCTTTCCCATGCAGGCGGAGATCATTGGCATGTGGCTCATTAAAGCGGGGGAAGAGGATGGAATGACAGTTAATCAACCCTCCCAGGGCTGCCGTCGCTGCTGTCATGCCACATTGAGCCCTGTATCACGCCCCACAAGCACATTTCTACCTGGGGCGTCCTGGTGGCTCATTGGGGCGAAGCCACATGCCATGTCAGAACGTATCTAGGGCTCAAATCCAGCCCAGGGCCTCTGTCGAATGTCATCCCTTTTCCTCCCCGTCTTTTCCTGTCTCAACCTCTGCGGGATGTCCAAAAAGTAATCTTAAATTTTTTAACAAAGCCAGAGGGATTTCTCCTCAGTGATTTCTGCTACTGCTGTCTGGGCTAGATCGTCTATCCGGCTGATATGTGCTGATATCCGGCCAGTCTTTTATAATAAAGGTGTCTGCTTTTTTTTCCCTCAGTAGCTTCAGGGGTGTCAGTTTGTCAAACCTGTAATAACACATGCCTCGCCCTCCCTGCCTTAAAGGAGGGCTTTGCTATCTGGATTGATATCAGAATATGTGAGATAAAAACTGTTTCTGTCCTCAGCTAGTGCAGCTGCCTTTTGTATGACAACTGAAGTGGCTGAGATTATCATAAAATTGCTCTGAACAACTGTGTAATCTGTTCTCCTGATTGCACTGTTGGTCCAACAGCTCCAATATTTGCCTCATTATCTTCTGGATTTTCCCAGTTTACTAAACTCTGGTCATCTTGAAGCCATCTGGAGGAGGCGCCTTGCCTCAAACAAACTTTTTTTTACAACATGTCATCCAGCTACGTCTAAAGGCAAAAGCCTTCCATCACAGCCTCGTCCTGGCTGCATCCCACGGCCTCCACCATCTCTCTTCCTGAATTCTCTCTTTTGCGTGTCTTTGTGAAGACAACAATAACAATGCTTTCAGTCTCTCCTCACAGGCATTCATGGTGTTGCACTTGGTTGTACATGTGAAAAGTGTTAGAGGTAGTTCTAAAAAATGGAAAATGGCTGGAGATATTAGGCGTCTTTACATAAACTTAGTATTGTTTTAGAAAGGAATGATTGGAATGATGGAAATGGCTAAATTAAAAAAAAGCCAAAACGTTTTTATACGTTCTGAGGTGGGTTTTGCCTTTTTCAAAAAAGAGTTAATGCTTAAGAGTTAAGGTCCAGTGTGTAACATTTAGGAGGATCCATTGGTAGAAATGGAATATAATATTCATAGGTATGTTTTCATTAGTGTATAATCACCTGAATATAGGAATTTTTGTGGTTTCGTTTTTATATCTACAGACGCTGCATACAAATGTCATATTTCCATTCCCCACCCTTTCTGCACTGGTTTTCACAGTTTGACAGTTTGACACCTACTGCTAATCTCATGAACCATCTCCCAATTACCACATAACGGTAGTGGATGGAAACAAGCATTCATTTGCATCGTCTTTTGCTGATTTACTGGAAATTTCAGCTATTGTCTTTTTCAGAAAGTTACAAAGATTGTCAAACGTGACCCCTCCTTGATTCTAAGGTTTCAGATGCTTTTAGAAGTCAAAGAATGGCATCCTGTTTCATCTCCAGGGTTTGCTTGAAACTGACTAGCTTGTACAAAGTGTCATCCGACCAAGGTCGAAAGTTTTTGTAGTTGTTCTGAATGACAGCTGACACGACCATTCGAATGCTGATTTCTCCTCAAAGACATTCGTGGTGCTGATCTCACTGGGTGCTGAACTATGGAAGAAGCTGTGTGAAGAATAAAAAAAGAGAGCTTGAGAGAGTTCAAACCCTGCATGCTTCCTCACCTTCACACACCCGGACAATTCCTGTGTGAGGCGTGCTTGTTGGAGTGTCAGTTTTTGTGTTTCAGATGCTGTTCAACAATCCACCAAGTACTTTGTTTGAATACAATGACACCTTGAGTTCATATGTATGTGTGAACAGAGCGTAGCTGCTGCTTCATCCACAACACCAACCCTCGGGAGCCCAAATCTACAAAGGACAATCTTAGTTTTGGCCCTTAAAGCACAAACAAGGAAAGAATAAATAATGCAGTCATTGATGATTCAGGCATTAAATCATTTACAAGCTTTCACCAACAAACAATTCCAACAGGACTTCTGTCTCCGGCTCAAGCTGTCACTTAAGAAGTCAGATGCTTCCAGCTTTCAGCTACAATGCCATGATGTGTAAGGATCCATTCATCCAGAAATATGGGTATAAGCCTGTAAAAACCCCCATCATTGAAACCCTAGCAGGGATTAGTGCAGAGGGGTGTTTGTGCTGCTTGCTCAGCCAAGCTCATCACACTGCTCCGTCAGCAGGCCGAGCCCCGCAGGAGACAGTCCACAGCCAAGCAGAGTGTGTGTGAGGCTCGGGGAATTTGTTTCTGTCTCTGTCACCTCACTGAGAAATTGACCAGCGGCACAACGAGTTGAGCATCAGCACAATCAATAGAGGAGCCAGTGGGAATTCGTAATGGTGGATGTTGACTGACCGGACGTGTGTGGTGTATCAACAGACCGGACGGCACAGCTGCTGCTGGAGCCCACTATGATCACCTCTGATTTACAGCAGCATGCACATTTCACCATGCTGTCGATAAAAGTGTCGGCCGCGCTGTACGTCATACGATACAAGCTTCAATTCAGACCGCAGGAATGATGGAGCTCCATTTGTTTGACTTACGGCTTTTCTGTGGTTTTCACTGGTTGTAATAAAATTCCCATGCATGCTGATGAGCCGAGGTGGTCGACCGCAGGTTTCGACACCATTTTAGAGTTTGATACACTGCGTCAGGTAATTGGATGTCAAACAGCACGGTGCGGTTGTTTGTGCAAACATGCTGTATGTCCTAATAAATAAAATATCACTCCCACAGATGTGGGTTTTTGAAGGCTGTTGCTGATATCACATTTTCCCCTCAGGAAATCTGTTACGAGCTGTTTACATTATAACACACCCATGGCAAGGTTCAGTCACTACAACTATTGGCTGGATTTGCATTGAATTTACTGTGGATGTTTTTGGTCATCAGGCCAAAACTTCTGCTGGTCTACAAGAAAGCATAAAGGGCGGGGCCTACCAGCAGGATTTGTGACATCACAAATAGTTATGAAGTCAGTCCTGGTCCAGTATGCAACTTGTACAGTGTGATGTAGAAACTTGAAGCCACCAGTGCACATCCACTGAGAATGGACTTCACAGTGAAGGAGGAGACATCTTGTGTCCAGCAGGAAAACTTTAGAAATGAACAACATTTGAATATTCAGAGATTCTGGAAGTTTTAATGAGGTAGAAGGAGGAGATTACTTTTTAAAAGTTTTTTATGTCGAAATTATACTTTTTTGTGGAAAAATACACATCAGACACACATTATTGTTCCAAGCAGACTATTTGTATATGTGTATTAATACATGTCTGGAGAGGGTCTTTAAAGAAGGAGAAGCTTTAATACTCAATCATCAATAAATACTTTGTTTGCTGTATGGAGTCTCACTGAGTTTCTTCCTCTTGTGTTACAGCCGACCCTCTGGTTGGAAGCATCGCCACACAGTACCTGACCAACAGAGCCGAGCACGACAGGATAGCCAAACAGTGGACCAAACGCTACGCCACATAGACCAGCACGACTCCTCCAGGATCCCTCACCCTACCCAACACACACACACACAGACACACACACACACACACACACACCTCCCCTCCTCTGAAATCTATGGAAGCACACCCGCTCCTGTCATCCACCCTGCCCCCCCACCCCAGAGAAATGAACTGTTATTTGTTCCATGCTGACTTGAAAAGCTTCTTTTTTATACAAAGAGTCTATTGGGATTGTATTTTCCAATACACTGAATGTTGATATGGTCATGAAAAGCTTTAATACTGTTATTGTTCTTGTCGATGTTGTTCTTATTGTTATTGCATTGTTTATAACATTGTCGCCACCCTCGTCATCTTCTTTATCTAAAAGTGTGCGTGTATTATTCCCGTTTTCATGTGATGGTTTCATGTAAAAATGATCACACTGAGTGAGTGCATTCTGTTTGTTTTCTTTCAGTGGTTTTACAGCTCGAGGTCAATATTAGTGCATGGCATCAGGATATGTGTTCATGCAGTGGACATGTAGTCATGGTATTATTTCTGTCCCGGCAGAGTTCTGGCATGGAGTGAGCCCATCACCATGTATGACGATAGTGGTTAGTTTGCTGTACATTTAAATGCCTTGTGAGAATACATACTCATTGAATACTCAATTAAACACTGGCTGTAATGTGACAGACTGTGTCCCAGTCTCGTGCTTTAATATGACTGTGTGTGTGTGTGTGTGTGTGATTACAGTGTGTGTACATGCAGGCTCATCTCTCTGACCACTTCCTGTTAGAAATGAGTCTTCACAGGCTCACCACAGAGAGTAGAGTGATTAGATAGTGAAAGCTTGCATGTGAATTCACACAAAAAAAGATGATGTTATTGTGACTTTTATTAGGTTTAGTTCATATTCAGTTTCTGGTAACTTGATTTAGTGCTAGTTAGACATACACTACAAATATCTTATATACCTTTTATAAATGAGTGATAATTGATTTTTCAGTTCCAATACATTTATCTAGTAATGTGTTGCGTTGTGACTCCTTTCCATGTGTTCAAACTAAACTGGGACACCAGTGGCTGGCCATCGGAGACAATGACATACAGTCTAGTTTGAGCAACAGATCAGAGCTTGATGGATTATCAACTGCCAAAACACTGCAGAGCAATTTATAACCCTACTGTATGTATAGGCCTGTCACAATAAGTTATCGCACAATACACACTACATCATTATCGTCTGTTTTAATAATGAAATCACCGACTTATTGCACGATGTATACAATACGTAATTATCAGCTGTCACAATATCAACTTATTGTTTAAGAGTGTCCTCAACATAATAGCAGAATAAACAGGGTTTTCCCTGCTGTTACTATAGTGCCTGTTAAGGAAAGAATGACATTTTAATATTTTTTTTCACTTTTCAATTCCAATGTCTGAATATTCTTAAGATTTAAAAGTTAATTTCTCTTTGAAATGGCGTACTTGCGTTATTGTGCTTATCAATATATCTATATAAAATAAGAATAATATCGTTTATCATCCCAGCCAGGAATGTCTGCTTGCGTGTGTTTGATGGGCGAGCAAATTACCAGAAGACGCTGCAAAAGCTGAGCCAGGTTCACTGGACGACTCCGCGTTTTTCTGCCAATGCCCCTTGTGTTGGCACCCCCACTGTCCTAACACAGTGGTCTCATGGAAATGAATGAGGAGGTTGTGTTTAGTCAAGCTGTGCTGTTGTCTCTCTCAACATGGCCTTAGGCTTTAAGAGCAGCATGAGTTTATCTGAGCAAGCGAGACAATAAGCATCCTGCTCTGATGTTCTTAAATGGTTATTAGGTCGTAAAGGTCCAGTGTGTAACATTTAGGATCTATTGTCAAAAATGGAATATTATATTCATAAGTATGTTTTCATTAGTATATAATCACCTGAAAATATGAATTGCTGTGTTTTTGTTACCTAGTTGCTTTCTACAAAGGGAGTGGGTCCTCTTCTATGGAGTCCGCCATGTTGAACCAACATGTTTCTACAGGCGTTTAAAGGCCTTTTGAGTTTCCCGGACCCCATATCTCTATTTTTATTATACTCTCCTCTCATTTTACATCATCTTTATGCACTCAAAATGTGTTTATAATGAATTTAGAGTTCCTAAAGAGAACAACTGTTCTGGTTGGTAGCTCATAACTTCAATTCAAAGAGCACATTTTCTCAGTCTGCTGCCATGAGCTAAAATACTACACTTAAAACAGCACTTAATTGCCTAAGCCGCACAGACATTATGTCAAACACACCTTGTGTGCACAAAACAGTCCAGCTTTAATGCGTTGCAGGTTTTCATGTAAGTTAAACCAGAACAGTTAACTGAAGAAATGAAAGCCTGTGTGTGAACACTCAGCTATTAGTGGAACAGTGCTGTAGTTCCATGTTGATGACGGACAGCGTGGGGCATCTTCAAAATGACAGAGGTTCCTCCTTTTATTTCACAAATGTAGAGCTGTCAGTCAATAAAACTGCATCAAAGTTAGGAAAAATCCTCCCTTAGCTCCTCTCATAATGTCATATATCAGCAGTCTGGGTGTTCAGTGGATTTTAGGAGTTATTTGTTAATCAATGCTTCTCTGATGTACTTAACTCTCTACAGAGTCCCACGAGTCTCTACAAGTCCTGAAGGACGATATTTTTATCTTGTTCACAAAAGATAATAACCAGTGCAGAGAAGAAAATATATTATCTAATATTTGTGAGCACTAAATTATAATCTTGAGCAAACAAGATGTCAGATAATATACTGTGAGCACAAGTTGCACATATTGTGTGAAGATATTAGATATCTAATGTGATAATAATATTAACAAGATATTAGCTAGATCATATCTTGTGCTCACATCTTTGCACGAGTTATCTTCCGTGAACACGACATTAGATAATAGATAATATCCAGTGTGCACAAATTCCATTATGTTGCACACCTTTACACACAAGTTGGTATCTTGTATGAGCAAACGATTTTCTTACGCAAACAACATGTTACATAATATTAAGTTGCGTGCACAGGACAGATGGATCAGTGTGCAAACGTTGCCTGGATTAAAGCTGCAGCAGATACGTTTTATAAAAATAACTTTTTGCCATTGTTGCTTGAACGTTCACTACATCCTGACAGTAGCACACAAGAGAAAACAATCAGGTTCAATTTAGGTTTGGGTTGAAGGCTTGAAGTTCATTGTTGAGTCTCAGGGTTCCAAAGTGTCTGTATTTGACGCCCTGGGAATGAATCTCAACTATCAGCTATCTTTCTTGGCTCTGATGGGTTGTTTTTGTCAGGGTTTCAGCAAATGAAAAAACTTTTAAAACATTTTTTTTTACAGGACTGGCTGTGCTTTTTTTTTTACAGGACTTTATCCTGCCTCGTCAATTTCAGCTTTAATGACTAATTCCTATATTTCCAAGAATGCTTTTTTGATCACCCATAGAGAAGGAAAATGAACCATGCTGCGAGAGCTAGCTGGCTAACTAATAGGTGGAACAGTGGGGTGTGTCAGTGATGTTGAAAAGCTGAACACTTGTTGGTGTCCGCCTCGTTCTGAGCCGGAGACTGAGCCTTGCTGTGGTTTTAAGTCTCTGACTGTGTTGCAAAACCAGCAAAGTGGAGCAACAGTGGCAGAGTTAATTATGGTTGACACATCGGGAGGGGGAGGGGGAGGCCTCATCCCACCCTCCTCCCTCCTCTCTTCCTCCTTCACACACTGTGGGAGGGAGAGTCTGACAGAAAAGGAGAAGTCACTGAGGCATGGATAGTAATGTAACATTTGCAGTGAGAGGTAAGTGATCAATAGGAGTGAAAAGGCCAACGTTGGCCTGTGAATAAAAATGTGCCTGTTCTGCATAATGATGTATATTATACAAGTATAATGTGTTGGAATGGAGACTGTCTTTGTTTGCAGGTAGGACAGACATGCTCTCACTCCCGCAGCCAAAATGCCGAAAGGTTATTATGTAAAACAACATGGACAGTTTGTCCCAAACAGTTTGTAGCTGAAGATTCTATATGTTACATTTAGTTTTGCATATATATGTTATCATGTCACACACACACACACCCAAGCCCAATATGCCCCATGAAATTCCAACCCGACACAAAAGGGACAGTCTCCATTGTTTTAATCATATGAACATTTCAGATTGAATTCATTCAGCTGTTGCAGTTATATTTTCTGAAAGTTTTATTTTCTTAAAACAAGAATAAAACTCTGCTGGCTGAATAAATAGCAAGCCTGAATTTCTAAAATCTGCCCCCCAAGGATCCAGTTTCACCTTGTGGTGTTTGTCATAAATTGATAAACAGCTCATTCAACACTGTAAACCAATCTATGAACAGCCTTAAGGTGACACTTGCATTATTACTAATGAGTTTGTGCAGGGGCCCTGAGTTAAAATATAGTTTCGAAGCCTTATATCATCTTATCCTGTGCTTGTATGGTGCACACTCCCTGAGAGGATTTATCTCTGGAAAATAGTGAATCTTTCATTCATTTATTTATGTTGTTGGCTTAAAGGTAGTTTTTAGCAGACTGTAAACTCCCTCCAGTGCCGGCCCTGGCTTCAAGGTCCCATATGGGCAACATTAGGATTCACGATGGAAGCATGTGACCGGCTGTGGGGAGGTGATATGTCAGGTTTAAGTCTTTAGAAAGATACCAAATTCATTGTCATACTTTTTGTCACATGAAGAAATGTAAATGAAATAAAGCTCGCGCTCACTGCCCTAATAGTCTCTCTGGAGAAGCTAGCTCAGGAGTTAGCTACATGCTATGAAAATTCCATCAAAGTGCCACTTTATAACTCTTTATAATGGTTCATGGCGACCGCTTTGTTTAATGTTTATTTAACCCACAACACATTTCACATGTCAGGCCACTTTATCAAGCACCATAATGGCCTTTTAAAACTGTCACTCAACTCTCGCTCGCCCTGTTTTACTGTTGGGTAGTAACTCAGGCTAACGGCTAACAGTAGCCTGAGTTACTGTTAGCCGTTAGCCTGATTTTACGACTTCCCAGCAACCAGTGGGTTTTAGTTAGCTACACGACGCTGTGCTTTGTTCTCGCTGTCACATAAGTCTCCTAAATATCTTATGGCTTAATGATTCATCGCTGTTATGTGTTTTATACACAGCTGATAAATGCCATTGGAAATGTGTGAAATGATAAAAGGCGTTTTATACATTGCTTCTATGAGGAGTCTTTGATTAACTTAACAAAATGGAGAAGCTAACCATTCATTTCAACAATTAACAGGACCAACAGGGTCCAGCCTGCAGCAGGGGACAGGCAGTGTTCAGTAACAGGTCCTTAAGAGTGAGGAGGATGAGGGAGGAAGGTCTGGGGAAATGAATGGCTTTCTTCTCTGGCTAATGTTTCCATTGAATATAAGTTAGCTCTTTTGTTTTGTTGGACTCTGTTACTGCGCCTCTGTCTCTGTCTGGCAGCCCTCTTTGACGCTGACGCCGTGTGAAACAGCAGAATGATGAATGTAGATGACAATGTCAGGACGTCTGTCTGCTGCTGGACCGACACTTCCGGCGAGAAGAGGCACGCGTCCAGCGGCAGCAGCGTCAAGTTCTCGCTCGCTGCTCACGAGAACCCCGGAAAGTAGACTGTTGAACCCTACAAAATAAAAGCGCCGAAACCTCAACTCGCGACACTTGACCCCCTTCAAATAGCAACATTTACCCCTCAGTTGAGGACATTTCAAGAACCAATGACACTATTTTAGACCGAATAAATATAATAATTTTAGAATTTTTAGTTTAAAATATTTTGAAAATTCACAAATGTTTTGAACATACTCCATATGCTCCAACACCAATAATAGCTAAAAATAATCATACAAATATTTAATTAAAAAAAAATCTAATACAATAATTGGATACTGAGCATTTTAATTTGAAGGTTTTCTGCGGATCTCTCCCACAGTTCTCAAAGTCAAATAACCAAAATCATTTTCTTGCTTTTTGTGTCTAGCTAATATTGGTGTGTATGATATCTAGTACCTTTCATGTTTTTTATACACTATGTATGTTTTTAAGGTTACATATTATGCAGTTCTTGTACTCACCTTTGTTCCTGCGTGCATCAGTAACATTCCTTTTTTTGTCTTATCTTATCAATTAAATATTGCCTGTGCTTTTATTGTTAAGATGATGACCGGAAGTGGAGTCTCTCTTCATCGTCGGTGTTTTGACACTGGTGCGTCCAGGCGGCGGAGGCACACACACATAGGCTGTGCACACACACAAAGAAAGGTATCCAATACTAAATATTTGTATTACAGCGCATCATATTCTAACAGTTTGTGTAATGTGTGTCTTTTAGAGGCTGTTGGGACTACAAATGTATCCGTGTTAGCGTCAGAGGAGAATTTAGGAGTCGGTCCATCCTGTGACTGGCTGCACTGAGATCAGCTGCATGTCGACGGATATAGCTTTAAAAAATGCGAGGAAAAGCTTCGAGTGAACGGCGTGTTGTGTTTGTTTTGAATGTCTTAATTCGGGTCGAAGGCGTTGGGGACAGCCTGACAGCGCTGTGGCACCTCGCTGACTTCTTTAGGTGAAAGTTTCATTCGCATGGAAATTGTTGAGGTGTAGTGTTGGGGCTCCCTGCCGACTGCGACATCGCCCCGTCGATGTATTTCTGCTTTTCCATTCTGACCTCTTCGCCTCCACCGACAGCGGAGGTCCTGTGTGTCGTGTATCGCTCGGCGGTGTCGGGCAGAACTAGGCCTTTAGCCGAACTATTTTCACCAAATGATTTCCTTTGTCGCAGCCCGACAAGGCTAAAAATAACGCCCGACTGCAAACATTAGCCGAGGTCAGAATTCAGCGTTATGAAAGAGGAGAAATGCTCCGCCGATAAGCACGATAAGTTCCTCAATAACATGCACACAGCGGCGATTTAAACTGATGGATCCAGTTAACTCGGGTCAACGTGTAGTTTAGGCCTGGTAGTTAAAACGACGGAAGCGCTTATGGAGACTGCACCGTGGGATCCATAGTTGCAGTGTATAGCCGCGATGTATGCCCCGTTGACGTATGGAGAAAACGGCGTGCAACATTCAATTTAAAAAAAAATCTAAAAATTTAAAGTTGACGCGCTTATCGGCCTCAGTTTCTACTTAAAAAAACATGACGTGTGATTGTAAAGAATGGTATGGATCCTGTGTTAAGTTCGGTGCACAGGTGTACCACTATATAGCTGTACATTTCAATAAAATCTTAACCTAGTTTGGTTCAAAGAAGTCCCTGCTGCCCACGGGCGTTTTTAGTAGATGTTACAGTGGGAGTAATTGGTTTTATTACAGTATCAGTGTATTGGACGTATGCCGAATTTAAGTGTTGCACAAGCTGCACCCATTTGCCTTTAAACAAGGCTCTACAGTTAAATGTTCGATTTTTTAAAATGGGGTTCAATGGGGAGTGAACAGGATTTAGGTAAACAGTAGTTTGGCTTGTGTACCTTCCTGAATCTTGTGTTATGTTCTGCCATTGCCCAGGCTCGGTATGTCGGATGAAGATTCCCGTGCCAGCACCAGCTCTTCCTCCTCTTCATCCTCAACTCATCATCACCAGCAGCAGCAGCAGCAGCAGCAGCAGCAGGACTCGAACCCCTCCAAGAAACGAGAAAGCAAAGCCAGCATGAGCAAGACCTCCAAACTCCTCTCCACTAGTGCTAAAAGGTGAGCTTACTCCGGGCTGGAGGCAGGGACGTGGTGGAGGGGTTGGGGGGCACTTTTAGACAGCAAGACAAAGATTAGTAAACTTCATGCAGGTTGTAGTTTACCCTCCCTTTTAGGTTTTACTTCACACTGGCTAAAGTGAGCAGTTTAAAGTTTTAGAGCTGCATCTTATCCTAAATGCAGTGCCTCTTCTTCCCGGGATGATGTTCTGTCTCTTTAGGGAGTATGAATCCCCTTCCCCAACAGCTGAAAACAACTCAGGAGTTTGTCCTATTTATGAGCAACAGGGAATTAATTTAAGAAGATGGACATTGAAAGATCACCAGTCCAAAACCGCACTACTCTAGACTATTCTAGTTTCTAACATTAAGTGCAGTTGAGTGTCCTGTCCACTGGGAGAGATTTCAGTAATTGAGAGGTGTGTTTCTTTTGAAATTTCTGTCAAAAAAAGCTTGAAGGTTTTAGTTTGGTACATATTTACCTGAAGATTGTTCTCATCTCCACCAGACCCTCTCTGCCTTCTATCCAGGCTCTTGCAGTATTTGATCTAGAGCTTAGCTTCTGATGCACGGCTTGTATTTGCTTTTGCAGAATTCAGAAGGAATTGGCTGACATTACGTTGGATCCACCACCCAACTGCAGGTAAGTGAATGAGTGCGCGGCACCATTTAATGGAGAATTATTAATGTGTCAGTAGAAACATCTGGTCTTTGACACGTGCGTGTTTCAGTGGCAGTGTGGTTTATGTTCTTTTTAAATGAGGACATTTTCGGCTTTTATAGAGAAATTAATGCAAGTGTCGCTTCGTGTGGGCGTCTCGAATGTGAAGGTTGAAAAGCCCCTCTTCGTCTCTATGCCAGAGAAAAAAGATATTTCTGCTTCACTGCTTTGCATGTCTAGTCGATCAAAAGACAAAAACTATCAAGGTAATGAGGCTGAATAGTCTGCTTCATAAAGCTACAGCTAAATGTGCTTTCTGTTGGCACGCTTTAGACTTTGCAGTACAAGGTTTATCTTTTATTACCTACTTGGAGAATTTGGAGTTAAGGTTTTCTTTGTTTTATGTTGTTCTTTTCACACATTGTTAGGACTGAGAATTAAACCTGAACACTTAGGTACTGACGGAAATATGTCTGTGGCCAGGGGCGAATCTAGAGAAATATTCATGGGCTGGCATTGAGACTTAAAGGCAGAGGTCGTAAACTCAACTGGCTTAGGAGCCAATGTTGGTGCTGTCATCACACAGGCAGGGGGGTCTCCAGTAGGGGCCAGTAAGTGCCACCCCATCTTTCAGAGGCTGTATGGGTGGGTTTATTTGAGTGTTTCTGCATACTGGGGTCCATAAACATTATTGGAATTGCAAAAACTGGGAATGACTGGAAAGCTGAGACACATACTTCATGCCTCCCTTGCATAAGTCAGTGCCCTACTTGTGCTACCAGAGTTAAAAAAAAGTGTGGAAACGCCCCTCCACACAGGGGGGCCACTTGAACATTCAAGTACTAAAAGTGTACGTTTTTTTCACTTTTATGTGTGTGTGTGTATATATATATATATATATATATATATATATATATATATATATAAATTGTTGTTTGCAGCCAACTTAATCTCTTATCAACCATTTGCACACACTTGCCCCTTTGCCATTATTTTACACTAAGTAATACCTTTTTTTAAAAATGGTATTGTGTTTTGATTTTAACTGTATATGAAAGGGTCTTGCGGGCCATGTCACGGGCTGGAGAGCTGGAAGGTTAGGGCCCATGCTTTAAGGGGTGGCTGAAATATTTACAAATGCCGATATTTGAACTCAGAAACATTACTGTGACACATAAGTGAAGCACTCAATAGAAACATCTAAAGGTGGTATTAGAAATCAAAGGCAAGTTTTTATTTCCAAATCCAAATGTATTTTTCCAAATAATTGTCTTTTTCATTGAAGCTAATTCTGTCACTTAGCAACATGCCCATAACAGACCATTAAATGATGTCATGTTTTTTACATGTTATTTTAAAAATGGTCTAAATTAATTTGTTACATTTGACAGGGGTGGCAGTCTCCCCACGCCACCCTCTATAACCACCCCTGTAAGTGGCGACTGTCAAACACTGAAAGCTGGCATTAAACATCTGCTCTGATTCGTAGTCTGGTTTACGCTTTCTTTTAAGAGAATTCCTGAGTTCAATCAGAAGTCAGCCAATTTTATGAAGGCAAAGTACTTGTACAGCTGCTTGTATCAAGAAAACATTTCATATTTTTGATTTGTAGCTGCTTTTGTAGAATAAAAAAGGATTTAATATGTATGCTTCTGAAAGAAAGCTGTAGAAAGTTTTGTTTTTAATACCAAAATTGTGGTATTCTATCGGCTCTACTATTAAAGTAGTAGTGGTGTTGACATTTAGTAGTACATTTCGTAGTAAAGAATGTCAAGTGATATCTGCAGTGTCCTAACAAGCTGTAGGAGGTGAAGAGTTTAGTCACTGAGCACTGGTTTTGCTGGTTATCTGGTCATTTTGTGAGTTGGCCAAAACGACAAAGAAAAGAAACTCTTGGCTGTCTGGGGAGCTACTATCAGCACACTGGTCCCTGTACTGTTTACACTAGGCCAAAGAGGACTAGGAGGAAAGAAGACAGAACGCTCTGTTAGCCTAGTGCTAGCAACAGTGCTATGTTGAGGTCTGCACCTTGTCCTGAGTGTATTATTTACATATTCAGCTCCAGCATAGTGTGCCTAGAAAACAGATCTCCTACCTATTAAACAGCTTCTTTGTTTACCACATTTAGTCTGTTTGACCTGTCCTTCAAACAAGCCTGGCAGGTTTAGAAGCGTGCCATGAAGATAAATTAGTATCATGTGTTCAAACAAACTACTAGTCCTGCTATTACTTAACATGCTGTATGAAGTGTTTTGCCCAATGCATCCAAGGCACAGAACGGATTCTGGCTGAATCTGTGTTTGTTGTGCATGTCAGGGTTGGATGAATTCTATTGTGTCATTGAAGTGAAGCTGTTGCAATCTTGTCTTGACACACCCGCGCTACAATGAGACTCCAGGACAGAGGCAGGAGTTGCAGAGAGGTGTAAGGTGTTCAGAGGAGGTAAAGAGAAAAGGTTGAGGGACACCTGATGTCCCTTTTTGAAGCCCTTCTAAAGGTTCGGCTGTCTTGAAGCGCTGACAGGTCTGTTGCTGACTGTATGCAGTAAAGCAGGCGACGTGCGTGCCTGAATTGCAGGTCATGACGTCAAGACCATAAAGGCGAGCTGATTACATGGCAGCAAGGCAAAAAAAAAAAACCCACAAGTTAACTCAGCCAAGACCCAAAACAAGCATTTAGACCGTGAGACCACACAGGAGCTGTTTCATTCAACACTCCTCAGTCTGTGTGTGAGTCATAAATCTCAACTTTGGGAACATTTGCACTGTAGCTGTACCCCCAAACCCCCTGTGGAGTCATGGATTAAGTCCTCACACTGAGGCCTGCTGGAAGCTTCAATGGCTTAGTGACAAAAAGATTTGACGAATGCAGCACTGTTGACATGAGACTTTGTGTTTTTGAAGTTTGGTTTCATACAAGGGAAACAGTTTGACTTGATGATCTTATTCAGACTAAGATGCTGAACCACAGACAAAGATTCTGGTTACTAAGATAAAAGTCACTCACAACCAGCACAGATTTGACAAAAAAAACCCCTGTAACTACTTTATCTGTACTTTTATCGTTCACCTGAAGTCCAAGTATAGGTTCATGTTGAGGCACAAATCTTCATAAGCAACCATTAAGTCTCCCAGTTTTTTTCCCCTGAAATGGTGACTGCAGAAATGATGCTGCATTTGAACATTTCCTTTTTAAAGCTATTAATGTTTACGTAACTGAGATCAAGCCTTGCGTAGCCACACACCGTAACAATTAATATTCAAGGTGTGGCTGTGTGTCACTGTCATAATTGTTCTGGAATTTTGCGAGGTCAAAACTTGACATGAACATATGTTTGGATTAATCTGCAGCTGAAAATATTTCCCAACAAATGCGCCATTTCCTTCTTAAGTGAGGTATGCTAAAAATGACAGTGCCTAGCTGTTTTGGGAAATGACTGAGCTTTAAAAGAAATGTAAGTGTGTATTTGTAGGAAGTCGGGGGGCCTGTGTGTGCCACAGACAGATTAACACATTGTCTTATTCTACAAGTCACATGTCCACAGCATTAGTGAGGATGCTGTCTTTTGTTTAATAAATAAAGTTTAATTCATTCAATACGAAGTCAAACCGGAAATAAAATAACAATATTGAGGTAAGAAATTGGAGTAACCTGCAACTGAGGGTTCTACCTCATGTCGGATTTCAACAGTGAGTGGTAGTCACCATCTGCACCTTGTATTTTTAGAACGCCATCCTCACTCTGAGTGGGCTGTGCTGTAGTTTTCTGCCACTGGCAGAGATTTGCGTTTCCAGGCCTCCCTGTGTGTTTAATGTGTGACACCCAAGTTCAAGAGACATTGTTCTCACCTGGCCAAATGAACTAAAGAAGGAAATGCTTCAGAGTTGAGATAACCGCTCCAAACATGTGTGTTGTGGCCGCACCCTGAGTGATTTATCTTTTCATCTCGCCACCAGCGTGGAGAAAGGCTTCGTCTCTTCATTTTTTTCTGTTCCACTTGGTGTAAAACCCTCTATTCAGCACCACATGCAGAAAGGGGGATTTTTAGTGGATTTTTCTTCTTTCTGCTTCATTTAGCACAGAATCTGCTCATTAGGGTATGAATGGAGCTGGCCAGCTATGCCTTGCAGATGCTGTTTAATGGATTACACATCGATGAGTCAGTTGGTTGTCGTCTCATTTCTTTCGAGGTTGTTTCGGGCCTCCTCTCTCTGAAAATGGACACTGACTGATGAAGAAAGGACTTATCCCGACTAGTTTCCATTATCATCAGCGCCTCTGTCGTAGCAAACTTTGTTTTATGAGCACTATAAGGCAGTCTTTCATCTGTCATTTCTCAAAATCTAATTATGCTCCACACAGGGAATGCCGAGCAGGCCCTCTTTTATTTTTCTACTGCCTCGTTGCCACTCAAGTGTGAACTGCAGACATCACAGGCCGGCCTCACCCCCTCCCTCCCTCCCTCCCACCCGCCCACCCCCCTGTGTGTTGCTTTTATTCACCATGTTTTATTCCTTTTTCCTCTCGACCAGCTATGTTATTTATTGCTCGCTTATACACTCGCACTTTTACTCTCCCTGTCTTTCACTCTGCCTTGTGTCCTCTTTTACTGCCGTTCACTGTAATCTCCTCTTGAGATGTTGCCCTCAGGTGTCAGACAGATTCCTGACATTCCAGGCTCATGACAGCTAAGGGAAGTAAGGAGCTGTGTACAGTAGGATAATGGGGGCTAGGGTTGGACAGATAAGGTGGTTTAATATATACTTACCTTGAACCATTTGGAAATCACTTAATTTTGATGTCTTTATTTATAAAGATCTTTTAGGCTCTCATGATGATAGTGTGTGTGTGTGTGTGTGTGTGTGTGTGTGTGTGTGTGTGTGTGTGTGTGTGTGTGTGTCAGGCCTGGTGTGAGCCATCTGCGCTGCGTGTGATCCCTCTGTCGCGTCGCTGATGTTAGCAGCAGTCTCTCCACACACACC